CCCCCCCCCACACACACACACACACACACACACAAACACACAGACACACACACACACCTCCCGCGGCGGATCTAAGCCCCGCGGCCGCTGCGCGTCGCACCTTTTACCGCAGTAGCGTCCGCCGAGCCGCGCGCGCGCACAGAGCTGGTCCCCCACCGGCTGCCCACTCACGGATGGGAGGCGGGATCCGTGCCACGGAGAGAACGAGGCGGCGGGCGGAAATGTATGAGGGGTTAGCGATGACACACAGCCGTGTGCTTGTGTCTGTATGTGTGTGTGTGTGTGATCAAACCGGAAGTCATCATCATCATCAGCATCATCATCATCAGCATCATCATAATAATAATATTAATAATAATAATAATAATAATATTTATTTGACAATAACACCCAAGAGATAATAATACAAAAACAATATAAGATAAAAGCGTGAAAAACGTTGAAAAGACTAAAATATACGTTTAAGATAAATATGAAATTAGTCAAATACAAGAAAATAGGAGGGATAAAATAAAGTCAAATAAGATTGGGAAAGGCTCTCCTATAAAAGTATGTTTTAAGAAGGGACCTCAGCTAACTGTGACGTCTCAGGTATGAAAACACAACCAGACGTAGACGTCAGGGTGAAGTCACATGACCACAGAAGTCAGCGTCATCACTGTCTCAAAGCGTGCTGGAAAAAGACCAGGAGACAGCCAGACAGAAATTCAGACTTTCAGATCTTCAAACCTTCAAACCTTGAGACCTTTAGATCTTCAGACGTTCAGACCTTTAGATCTTCCGACCCTCAGAGCTTCAGATCTTCAGACTTTCAGACCTTTAGATCTTCAGAGCTTCAGACCTTTAAACCTTCAGATCTTCAGATCTTCGAACCTTCAGACCTTCAAACTTTCAGGCCTTCAGACCTTCAAACCGTCAGACCGTCAGACCTTTAAAGCTTCAGACCTTCGGATCTTCAGACTTTCAGATCTTCAGAGCTTTAGATATTCTGACCTTTAGACCTTTAGACCTTTAGATCTTCAGACCTTCAGATCTTTAGATCTTCAGAGCTTCAGACCGTTACAATGGCCACCCCATGAATTAAACACTCAAGCATCATCTCCTACAGCTCCACCTCTACTTTTCATATGTATGAGACTCAATAAGCGCATAAATAAAGATTTTACAGCCTCTTGTTCTAGTTTTTGTGTTATTTCATACAGTGAGACGTGAGGCCCTCTGAAGGTGTCCTGCTGTGTCATGAACCGCTCCACGATTAAAGAATCTGCCTTTAGGCTCCTCCTAAATAGGTTTTCTGGTGAGAAAACTGTTTATTTGGACTATTAGAAATGTTTAGGTAGCTTCAAACTGAAATCCAGGCTTTCCTTTCCTAACAGTGAGCCGGATGTGGGTGGTCATAATGTTTTGGCTGATAGGAGTG